AACTTTACGTGGTCTCTTTAATAACAAAGCCGCAGATCCATCAGGAATATCCAATGAAATAATGTCTCATTTAGGAAATCGTCTTTAACATCTACTTTAGCAATTAATTTATATGTGTTTTATACTTGGTGAAATTTCTAATGAATGGAAGATAGCACATATCTATCCTATTATAAAACCCATGGATTGGAATTGCGATATAACTAAAACTAGACTAATTACACTTCTGGAAACAGCTCGTAAAGGTTTCGTAAAAATCATCAATAATAGATTATCCAAAATCCTAGCTAAGCATTACCTGGAAAGTCTACTGAACCACACATTAAAATTATGAATATGCTATTAAAAGATGCCATAGAAAATAAAAAAGACATTTGGATTCTCCTTCAGGATTTTTCTAAAGCTTATGATAAAGTGGATCTCAAATTTTTCAAACTTGCTCTTTAAAGAATTAAACTTCCCATGTTAGCCTTAAAACTAATCATCAATCTCTTTACTGTACACAAGAATGCTATCTTGACTTCTTATGGTATTTTTTCTTATTACAATGTTAAAATTAGTATAGATTAAGGAGAAGTCATTTTACCACTCTTATGGTATATTTATTTAGATCCTCTTTTATATGAAATTAATTTTCTTAATAAGGGCTATACTATTAACCATACAGGATCTCTGATATTACTGATAATTCAACTATTATACTTTCTGAATTTGGCTTTTATGGATGATACTAATTGGATTGCTAATAGCTAAATAGATTTAAAATGCATCCTCAATGTAGCTGATAACTTCTATAACTTAACTATAGCTGCTTTAAACAAAGATAAATCCAAGCTTCTTATTACTAATTTTACGTCATCTTCCTCTGTTAATCTTTGCTTTGCTTTGGATCTTCACATATAGACATCATACCTAAAACTGAATCTGTATATTTTCTAGGAGTTTGGATCAATAGTCAATGTTTATATATAAAGTCGAAATGAAAACCCAAAAGTCGAAATGAAAAGTCAAAATGGTCGAAATTACGTTATATCACATGATTTTTTATATATAAAAAAAACAAAAAAAAAAGATGTACTATCTTGGTCAATATCGCTCCGATTCGTATAAAATAACTACTATTCGATTCCTCACAACTAGACAAATCCAATGAGCTAACATTCATTGATTTTGGATCATCACATCTCGGGATATTTGCGATCGTATTTCAAAATCCAGACTTCTTTATTTAAAATAGAATTTATTGATTTATAATTTCAGCCGATAATACAATTGCGAGTATCTCATGATTGGATGATCTGAAATCATGAATATTAGCTCATTGGATCCGCCTAGTTTTGAGAAATCGAATGGTAGTTGTTACATACAAATCGAAGCGATATTGACTGAGATCATACATCTTTTGTTTTTTGATTTTTCTAAATATAAAAAATCATGTAATATGATGTCATTTTGACTATTTCGCGACTTTAGCCTCTAATGGTCGAAATGATTTTGATCATTTCGACCATTTCAGATATCCGAAATGATCCATTTCGACTTCATGTATAATCTATACATTAAAAGTATAAGAAAAAAAATTTTTTGATTTGAATATTGTTATTTTTTATTTTTTTATTTTATGTAAATTTATACGTTATTTCAAATTCTTTAATAATTCTGTATACGAATAATAATACAGAATCATCAATTATGTATACAACCTTATAAAAAACATATAATTTCTTTATTTTGATTTTTTATAGGAATAACTAATATAATTAAATATATTTGATATGATTGAAATATTTGATATAATAAAGAATATTAAATATAATTAATTTATTAGACATAAATAATATAGAAGATTTATTAGAAAAATAATATTTTGAAAATTTTATAACTAAAATTTAATTTTTAATCTATTATTATTAAAAATTAAAATGCAATAAAAATTAAAGTTTTATTATAATATATTTCCTATATACTGTATTCCTTTGAAAATAAGCAACATATTTTTTTGTTATAGTATTACTTATTTTCATATATTTCAATATAATTACCAAAACTTCAGCTTTAGGAAAAGAAAAAATAGTGATTTTTTAAATTAAACTTAATCAGAACTTGAAATTTGTCTTAAAATGTGAATAAGTTTTAATTATACTAAGTATTTCAATTTTGTAAAAAATGTCAAAATTTAAAAGAAAACAAGTTGTTAAGAGTATGATTAAAAAAATTATTAAAATTAAACAAACCTTGTACTCTATTAAACAGAAAATACAGGTCATTACCTATGTAAAAGAATACAGAAATAATCAGACAGCAGAACACTTTGACATTAATTATAATATGATAGGATGTTAAATAATGATAAGTTCAAGGCTTAGCTCAAGTTGAAGAGCTTTTTATTCTAAAACTGAGAAGAAGCTTTATTTATGACTGGATTATAGAACAAAAAAAGTAAGGTCTAGTAGTAACTTATTCAACTATACAAAGTAGAATGCTAGAAATTTTAAAAGAATCAGATATGATAGTTATTGCTGATTAACTGCATTTATAAAAAGATTTAGGTTCGTATTGTAGTGACAAACTAAAATATCTCAAAAACTTCTTAATCAAACTGAAGAGCTATTGGAAAAATTTCACCAATTTGTTACTAATTTAAGAATTGAAAAGTTATTTGAATTGGAGAATATTTTTTAATATGAATGAAATACCTGTTTGGTTCAATATAACTGGTAATTATACCATTAATCCAAAAGGCGAAAAAATAATACATATTTGTGTAATAGAAAATGAGAAGAATCAGTTTACAGTCATTTTTATGTATGTTACAGGTAATTTTTTTTTATAAAATCAAAATTTATTCACCAATACCATTGATTCATTATTATAGATGGAATCAAGTTCCCTCTAATATTTATTTTCAAAGAAAAGCGAATTCTACATACTGAACAAATTTTTTCCAGTATTGTTGTTTGATTCCAAAATAATGGCTAGATAAGCTTTAATTTAATAGTAAAGTATGTAGACTATCTCAATGATATATGGGAAGCGGTCAATAAAAAAGGGGAAATCAAAATTTTGATCAAAATTTATATTATTGGACCACTTGGCTGATCTCACTTATGTGTACAAAATTAGCTTAATAATTAAAATTAACAAAAATTTTGAATTTCCCTCTTTTCTACTGACTGTCTCCCATATAAGTGAAAAACAGGATTAGAGAGAAACTGGCAATACTTATATATGATTCTTTTAAAGACTATTTTAAAGAATGAATTAAATTAAGGTTTTATGAATCTCACATTAACGTTGCAGTAATTCTGTGTAAATTAACTAGCATTTGCTTAACCACTTGACATTGTGATAAATAAGCTATTTAAAGATAACCTTCATAGAGAATAGCATACTTGAATGGTCAGTGGTAGTACTAGAAAAACTGCCATGAGAAATCTTCATTATGCTAAGATCAGTGATGTATGTTTATGGGTTAAATATTTATAAAAAGAAATTTCTAATGAAATTATTATAGAATCCTTTAAGACTTATGAAATATCAATTGATTTAAGCGAATCAAATTCTGATTTAGAGTTTATTGATAAGACAATGATAGCGATAATATTAATAATTTAGATAATGATGATGATATTAATAATAATATCAATAACAAATAGTAATGATGATGATCGTGTTCAATGTTTAATTGAAATAAATTTTTTTTTTGAAAATCTGCCATAGAACAACTAAAATATATTTATTGAGTTTTAAATATTATTTTATAAAAGTTTATTTATTTAAATTATTTAATTCATTTATAATGCATATTTTTAGATATTAGAAAATTTATGAGTTGCTTATTTTCAAAGGAATATGATATTAGTTTTAACTTTAATTTTATAGAAATAAGATATTTTATAAATGTTAAAATATTTTTATCTTTAATAAAACTTATTTTTATACGTAATTTTTAATTAATTGTAATATAATTTATAATTTATAGAATTAAAATATACATATTATTACAATTATCTAAATAAATCTAATAAAAAAAACTACTTAAATATTTCATCTACTATTGCTATTCATAAGAATCATATGTTAATAATATGAAAATTTAATAATTAATACTGATTAGGATGTAAATTTGAAAGTATTAATTAGTAAAAGAAATTGATTTATTGGTATTAAATAATTTTTAGAGCTTGATAAAATATAATTACTTTTATAAAACTAAAAATATGCATAATTCTAAGTTTAATTTATAATTATAAAGGATTTTATTACAATAAGAAACTTTTGCAAAAAATAAGAAATATTTGTAATATCAATAAAATACTATCTTAATATAATTTTGAATTTTGAGAAATTTGAAATTAAACTTTTTATTTATAATAAATATTATATCTAAATTTCTATAAGTTTTACTAAACTTAATAAAGGTTCAGATTTATAAAAAAAAAAGTTATTTTAAAGATTAAAAGCTTGACTATCCTATTGATATATTAATAAGCAATAAATATTCTTGATCAAAGAATAATGATAATCCTCAAATACTATAAGTATTCCATTTGATGGATTTTTTTATTATATAAATACCAATTAATATTAAATAAATAAATACTCATCAGGTATACATCTATAAAGATTCCTGATATTAATGATTGGTGAATTTAAACCTATATGATATATTTCTACTGTAGAACCACTTTTAAAGATTTTAATCTAAAAAGACGTGGGAAAAAATTTTAAAAATGTGGTGAACCAAATTTGGTAGTTGCAGCTCTTAAAATTGATTTTACCAAGTACTTAAACCATAAATCCCGGAAAAACCTAATTTTCTCGACCGAATTATTTAACACGGAATACTTGAATACTTGTCAAAGTGTGATTGGATTTTTCGGCCGATCCTATACTTTGGGATTTTTTCATCTTTTGTTCTAAGCCCCATTCATTATTTATAACTCTCGTTAACCTGCGATCAAAGAATTTTTTACCTTTTGAAGAACTGAAAAAAAAAAATGTCAGATACCGAACTTCCAATACTGTTAGAAGAAATATGTCAGGTATGAGCTTCATTGGAGATTCTTTAAAAAGCAGAAAATAAATCGTACAAAATTTTAAGTGATTGAATAATCAAAACCGTTGTCATTTGTTATTGCCATTGTATTTCGTTGTTATTGTATGATGTACCGGTTATTTAGAGTTATTTAATAAATTTTGTATTTACGAACCGTTAATAGCTCCAAGAACTCGGTGTAAGTTCAACAAGTATAGGCTTTAACTGGCTGACCATGGAATCAGACCGTTTTATCTGTGTACGTGAAACTACCGGGCCGGCAAACCAAGTCGTGATAATCGATCTCCATGACACTTCAAATGTACTTAAAAGACCAATCACTGCCGACAATGCAATAATGCACCCTACAAGTAAAATTCTCGCGTTGAAAGGTTGGTGAACGAACTTCGCAAAGTTTATATGAAAACGGTTAATTTATTTATTAACAATCTAAATTTAATTAATGCTGCGCCATATTAAATTTCAATTAGCCGGAAGACAATTGCAAATATTCAATCTTGATTTGAAATCTAAAGTTAAATCTCATGTTATGCAAGAGGATGTAGCATTTTGGAAATGGATTAATCTCAAGACACTTGGGCTTGTCACAGGGCAATCAGTATATCATTGGTCAATGGAAGGCGATTCGCCTCCGTTCAAAGTGTTTGATAGACATGCAAGCCTTGCAAATTCTCAAATTATTAATTATCGTGTTAATGCAGATGAAATGTGGATGGTTTTAGTAGGAATATCGGCTGTGGTTTGTATAATATTCGGCCTAATGATTTTTTGTTGCTACTTCTGAAATTTTTATCATTGACGTATAAAATTAATCAAAAGGATGGCAGAGTGGTAGGGAACATGCAATTATATTCTAAAGAACGTGCAATAAGTCAGCCAATTGAAGGACACGCTGCAGCGTTTGCTACCATCTTATTGGAAAATGGCATTTCACCCACAAGTTTATTCACCTTTGCTGTACGAAATCAAAATGGAGCAAAGGTAAAATAATAATATTTTAGTTTTTAATCTTTTTTCTCTATTAATTTTACACTTATTAAATTATTTAATTCAAAAATATCTGATAGTTACATGTTGTCGAGGTCAATCATAAAAATGAAAACCCACCATTTACGAAAAAGACAGTTGATGTTTTTTTTCCACCAGAGGCTACAGGAGACTTCCCAGTTTCCATGCAAGTTAGCAAAAAATATAGCATAATCTTTCTTGTAACGAAATTCGGATATATTCATCTCTATGATTTGGAGACCGGAACTTGTATTTATATGAACAGGATTAGTGGTGAAACAATTTTTGTGACTACGGAACGTGAAAATGCTAGTGGAATAGTTGGAGTTAACAGAAAGGGACAGGTGCTCATTATATTCTGAAATCATATTGTCTTCATAATCTCATTTAATATTCAAAATGTATATCAAATTTTTTAGGTGCTATCTGTCTGTGTGGATGAATCCAAAATTATTTCTTATATTATATCGCTATTAAATAATCCGGAATTAGCACTAAGGATCGCTTCCAGATGTAATTTGCCTGGTGCTGAAAAATTATATATGGATAAGTTTATGCAATTATTACAATCAGGGGCATACAATGACGCTGCCAAGGTAGCAGCAAATTCTCCCCAAGTAAGTTTTATATAATAAATTTGGTTAATTAATGTAAAACTTCATTACTAACCTCTTCGTCACTCATTGTAGGGCTTCCTTCGTACCCCACAAACAATAGATCGCTTTAAAAACGTACCGGTGACTCAAGGATCATTATCACCTATTTTGCAATATTTTGGAATTCTCTTAGAAAAAGGGGAATTAAACAAGCATGAGTCTTTGGAACTTGCAAGACCTGTATTGGCCCAAAATCGCAAACAATTATTAGAAAAATGGTTAAAAGAAGACAAGGTACGTATATAACATTTATTATTTAAGTTACAAGCGCGTTTCTTATTAGTTATTTAACAATTTTAAATAATTGTTTAGTTGGAATGTAGTGAGGAATTAGGTGACATAGTTTTTCAACAAGATGCGACATTGGCATTGTCAGTTTATCTTCGTGCCAATATTCCAAATAAGGTCGGTAAAAAGTAATCTTTTAAAACTATTAATTCCAGTCATATTTAAATTTATTTAAATTATTAGGTAATTACTTGTTTTGCTGAGACAGGCCAATACCCCAAAATTGTTCTTTATGCCAAAAAAGTGGGGTTTCGTCCAGATTACCCTATGCTTCTTCAAAAAATTATGAGTAAAGACCCCGAAAAAGGAGCCGAATTTGCTACGTTGTTGGTGAGTGATGATGATGGACTGATTGATATTGAAAAAGCAAGTATCTTTTATATATATTACGTTATAATTTTCCATTTTTGTAGCTTCATTTGCTAAATTTAAATTCAAACTGCAGGTTGTTGATGTATTCATGTCGAATAATAAGATTCAGCAAGCTACTGCATTCTTGCTGGATGCACTAAAAGAAAACAAACCGGAACATGGACATTTACAAACTAGATTACTAGAAATGAATTTAATAAATTTTCCACAAGTTGCTGATGCAATCCTTGGCAATGAAATATTCAGTCATTATGATAAACCACATATCGCATCTCTATGTGAGAAAGCCGGACTATTACAAAGAGTAATTACATATTAATGAATTGGTTCAGTTAAAAATCATTACCCTAATATCTCTTTATATTTGTAGGCGCTAGAGCATTACACAGATATTAATGACATAAAGCGTGTCATTGTACACACTGGTGCTATGACCACCGAAGTAAGGCTATTTTTAATTATCAAATTTTATTGGTTGGTGTTTATATATATTCTAACGAAACAACAATTCATTAAATATACTTTAGTTTGTTGTTAATTATTTCGGAAATTTGTCTGTCGATCAATGCCTCGAATGCCTAAAGGAAATGCTCAAGAATAACAGGCAGAGTCTACAAGTTGTAGTTCAAATTGCAACAAAATATTCCGAGCAGTTACAGCCATTAAATTTGATTAATTTATTTGAGTCCTTTAAAACTTATGAAGGTAAATTAATATAAAAAAAGAGTAAGTTATTGAAAAGTATAACGAAGCTCATAAAAAAAACGAAATTTTTATAGGGTTATACTATTACCTCGGATCGATTGTCAATATTAGTACGGATCCTGATGTGCATTTCAAATATATTCAGGCTGCAGTAAAAACCGGTCAAACCAAAGAGGTTGAAAGGATTTGCCGGGAAAGCAACTATTACGATCCGGAAAAAGTCAAAAACCTTTTAAAAGTATGAGTAAATTTTTTGTTAATTACTTCTCTTGTAAATAATCTATATACTAATATAATTTTAAATATAATAGGAATCTAAGCTCGCAGATCAGCTTCCCTTGATTATTGTTTGCGATAGATATGACTTTGTTCATGATTTGGTACTTTATCTTTACCAACAAAACTTGTTAAAATATATCGAAGTGTACGTTCAGAAAGTAAATTCGGCTCGAACACCTGCTGTTATTGGCGGTCTCTTAGATGTTGATTGTGATGAAACGATGATAAAAAATCTTCTTTTGTCTGTTACCGGTCCAGTCCCAGTTGATCAATTGGTTGAAGAAGTTGAAAAGCGCAACCGTCTCAAATTAATTTTGCCGTGGTTGGAATATCGTGTACAAGATGGTAGTCAGGATCCAGCCATCTTCAATGCAATGGCCAAGATATATATTGACAGCAACAACAATCCCGAAAGTTTCCTCAAAGAGAATGCTGTATGTAACTTAATAGTCTTATAGATAATATTATACTATTTATTGATCTATTTATTTTATGTATAGTATTACGATTCTCTCACTATTGGTAAATATTGCGAAAAACGAGACCCTTACCTTGCTTTCATAGCATATGAACGTGGTCAGTGTGATTTAGAGCTTGTTAAAATTACCAATGAGAACGCCATGTTCAAACATCAAGCTCGATATTTGGTAAAACGTCGTGATCATCAATTATGGGCTCATGTTTTGGATGAGAATAATATGTTTCGTAGATCTTTAATTGACCAGGTAAAATAATATTCATTTTGTCTTATTTTATGCCTAATTATGTTTTATTGATTCATTTTTTTTTAACATAGATTAATGCTGTAGCTTTACCTGAGTCCCATGATCCGGAAGATGTTTCTATTACCGTCAAAGCATTCATGAATGCCGATTTACCAATTGAATTGATCGAACTCTTAGAGAAATTGATATTGGAGAATACGGCTTTCAGTGATAATAAAGCTCTTCAAAATTTGCTTATCCTCACAGCCATCAAGGTAAATCTTTTTATAGGATCTTTATTTGCAATAAATCTTTATCAACAATTTAAATTCATTTGTTGCCTATACTTTATTGCCATAGGCTGATAAAGCTAAAGTGATGGATTATATAAATAAACTTAATAACTTCGATGCTCCCGAAGTTGCTGATCTTGCTATCAAAAATAATTTGTTTGAAGAAGCGTTCACAATTTTCAAGAAGCATGAAGATAATACAAACGCCATGAATGTATTAATTGAACATATTGGAAAAATTGACCGAGCCGCTGATTACGCAAATAATTGTGATCAACCAGAAGTATGGAGTCGTTTAGCGAAAGCACAGATTGAAGGTCTAAGAATTAAAGATTCAATAGGTATGGTATGACTATCAAGCACGCACTTTTTTACCTTTTTTTTGAACCTTACACGTAATAATCTTCAATTCGTTAGATTCTTATATCCGTGCCGATGATCCTACCAACTTTCTTGAAGTAATTGATATCGCATCAAACGCTGGAAAATATGAAGATCTTGTTCGATATTTACAAATGTGTCGCAAGAAACTTCGTGAACCAGGTGTTGATAGCGAATTATTATTCGCTTACGCGAAGACCGAACGATTCCATGACATTGAAGAATTTCTTAATTCAACTAATGTAGCTCAAATACAAATAGTTGGAGACAGGTGCTATGATGAAGGTTTATATGAATCTGCAAAGATATTGTTCTCCAGTGTCTCCAATTGGGCAAGATTAGCATCCACACTAGTTCATTTAGGAGAATATCAAGCTGCTGTCGATGGCGCAAGAAAAGCCAGCAGTACAAAGTAATTAATTTATACATACATATATATATATATATTCTGCTAAAATATTCTAAGATTCTAATTCTAATTTATTTTATTAAAGAGTTTGGAAAGATGTACACAATGCCTGTGTACAACACAAGGAATTTCGCTTAGCTTATATATGTGGTCTCAGTCTTATTATTCATGCTGATGAATTACAGGTTTATTTTTATTTTATTTTATAAAAATTTTATCATGAATTATTTTTATCAAAGTTCATCGTGTTCGTTCATTCATTTATTTATAGGAAGTTATTCGTCAATACGAATATAATGGTTACATAGATGAACTTTTATCACTTCTTGAAGCTGGTCTTGGCGTTGAAAGGGCACACATGGGAATGTTCACCGAATTGGCAATTTTATACACAAAATATAAACCAGAAAAGACATACGAACATTTACGTTTATTCTGGTCACGTCTTAACATTCCAAAAGTCATTCGAGCTTGTGATAGAGCGCACTTATGGAAAGAAATGGTTTTTCTATATGAGAACTATGATGAGTTTGATAATGCTTCTCTTTCAATAATTACTCATGCTGCTGACGCATGGGAACACTCACGTTTCAAGGATATTGTTGTTAAAGTTAGCAACCTTGAAATATATTACAAGGTATGGTTTATATAATTGAATATTATCTCTTAATTTATGCTTACAGTATATTTTTTTCATTCTACAGTCTCTGAAATTTTATTTGGATGAGCATCCTCTCTTGTTAAATGATTTATTAGTGGTTCTTACTCCTAGGATTGATCATACCAGAGTGGTTCAAATGTTCAAGAAATCCGACAACTTACCATTAATTAAATCATATTTGATATCAGTGCAGGAGGTAAATACGACTTAAAATAATTTTCTTTTCCTCTTTAATAAAGCACTTAACTAAATTAATCGACAATTAAATTATAGACAAATAATGAAGCAGTCAATAATGCATACAATGATATATTGATCGAAGAAGAAGATTATAAATCTCTACGAGATTCAATTGATAACTTCGATAAATTTGATAATATCGAACTAGCTCAAAGACTTGAAAAGCACGAACTCTTAGAATTCCGTCGTATTGCAGCTCATCTTTACAAAAAAAATAAACGGTGGGCACAGTCTATTGCCCTGTCTAAAGAAGATCGACTTTTCAAAGATGCTATTGAAACAGCTAGTGAGTCACGCTCTAGTGAAGTAGCGGAGGAACTTTTGGAATACTTTGTACAGATTGGGAACAAAGAATGTTTCACAGCATGTTTGTACACATGTTATGATTTAGCTAGACCAGACGTTGTATTGGAAATGTCTTGGAGACATGGTCTTAACGATTTTGCCATGCCATATTTGATCCAAGTTATGCGCGAATTCAATAACAAGGTTTGTTTCAACTGTACACATAAATACAATATCTTTTTAAAAAAATTATAGAATATAACGTAAATGTTTCGACACTAGATTGATCTTTTGGAAAAAGCTAATGCTGAAAGAACAGCCAAAGAACAGGAACGAGAAAAAAATGAAAGCGGTAATGTATTATTTTAAATATATTTATATTTTACATAGTATAAAGTTACTAATTTATCATTTGTTTTATCAATAGAAATACCAATGTTAAATCCAGCCGGATTAGGAAATCAACTTTTAATTACACAAGGACCAGGCCAAGGGTGAGAATTTTTTTTTTTTTAATAAACTTTGTATAGGAGAACCAACTTAACAAAATTTTCAATTTACTATTAATTAGCATGGGACCTCAAGGGTATGGTAATGCTTATAATGGTATGAATAATATGTCCGGTTTTCAAGGTGGTTTTTAAAATATTTTGATAGGAAAAAGACAAATTGGTTAGAGTGTTATATGGTGATGTATATATATATAATGCTTATTAATACTCTGGTAACATTACTGGAATTTTTTTAATATGTATAACAAAAAAAATTGAAAACATAATAATATGGTTTAGCTAAATTAAAAAAAAATATAATACATTAATAGAATTATATCTAAATTTCCACAATTTGAAAGATCGTGGCCGGAATTATATCAAGCAGACGAATTAGGTTATATTAATAAAAATTTTAATGCTGATCAATTCTTTAATCAAATGTATAAAATGCTCCCTGTAACGTTACAAGAAAAAAAAATATTCTTCTGCAATATGTCCCATGTAGCTGTTTCTTCACCACTTCCAAATGATTACATAAAGTCGAACCGTCATATGTTTTTCTCCTTTCATCCAGACAGTTTTTCATTTTTATCTGGATATTTAGGAGTAAATACAGCAAAGATATCCGGTAGCTTATTAATTAGAACTCCGCAAGAAATTGAAGCTAGTGAAATAAATTTGTATTTTATTGGTAGAGAAAAGGTCGAGTGGGGAGTTGATTTCCGTAAAGCAAAAGCAAAGGATGAATACATTATATTTAACTTACATGAAAACTTATGGACAACTTCAGATCCCGTAGGATATGAATTAATAACCGAGTTATCTTTACCATTTGAATTTGAAGTGCCTTCAGATGCTGTAGAAAGTTTTGAATCAAGTTTTGGAAGTGTTCGATACACATTGAAAGCGGTGATTATTAGAAATCAAAAAAAAAAAAACAAATGGGTTGAAGTTATTGTACCAATTTTGAGATGGTCTCAACCACCAGAAGAAGAATTAAGTCCTTTAGTTTTGAAATCAAAAGATATTTCACAAAGAAAACATCAAATTGGATGGGAAGCAGAATTGCCAAAAACATTTTTTGATATTGGCTCAAAAAGATTTAAAGTTAAATTAAAAATAATTTGTCGTCAACCAGATTTAAGAATTAGAAAAATAAATTCATATTTAAAAGGAATTTTTAAATATAAAGCAAATAATTTATCTTTCGAAAAAGAACAGTATTGTTACAAAGGTGAAATTAGTGGTAATGATATCATAATTGTTCCAAATGGAGTCGATATTATATTTGAAGTAAAAGTAATTATTGATATACCTAGTAATATCCTTCCAACTTGTCAAACTAAATATATGAATATTATTAATGAAATTCAAATCAAAGTAATTTTTGAAAGGTCAAATACTTTTGTTTTAATTACAAGAGAAATTTTTTTAGGAAGAAATTATAATATAGATGGTGAATCTATTAATGAGTTATCTGATTAAATGTATCATTTATAATTTAGTAATAATTTTCTTATTATAATATTTAGGTTTATTTTATTTTTTAATTTTGAAACTTATTTTAGTATTATATAATTTATAAATTTAATGTAATTAATAACTTTACAATAAAAGAATATTATGTTTATGTATTATAAATATGCATATTTAAAATTAATATATGGAAACCTTTATAGCAAAAATTAGGATCATATAATTTTAAGATTTTATAAATATATCAGATATTTGTATAATTGCTATTATACAAAAAAATGTGTAATATAACTTTTATATATTGTATTTTTCAAAATTAGTCATCTTTCAAAATTAAGCATTTCCTTTTATTTTACATAACTTTATGCATAACTGAAAATAAACATTTTCAATATTAGCATCTCCATAAATATAGTATCTATAATTTATTTCTTTATCAAAATATTTATAAAAAAGTAATTTTTATAAATAAATCAAATTAAACAAAAAATTAAAAAATTAATTGTTTATATTATTTTCATTTCAACTTGAATTTCTTTAATAATTTCATTAATATTTTATAAATAGTATTATCTTCAAAGCCATCTATTTTATTCGATATGACATATTTTTTATAAGAACAGACTAGAATTTCCTTTAAAAGATTTTCTATAAATGTTTTATTTATCTATTTATATTACTTATTGTGATATATCAGAGGATTTCTATAATAATAAACCTAGCATTACCATTATTTATTCACTAAAATCATTCTTGACAAAAATGATTCTTAAAAGATTTGTTAATTACAATTTCAAGTAATTAACAAATATTTGTTAAACCATTTAGGATTATAACAAAATCAATATCATTTTCTTTAAATTTCTTTTTAATTAAATCCTTCAAATGCTTTGTAAAAAAATCATAAATCATTATTGATAGAATCTAGATTGGTTATTTAATATTATTATACAATTAAAATAATCAATATAATATTCATTAAATCCATATTTATCTAACTATTTTTCTGAAATTAAATAAATAATTACTCTAGAAGATAGTTTTTTTTCTATATAGCATTACTTTTCTTTAAAAATACAAATTGGTAGTAGTTTATTTAATTTCATCTATAATTAAATTTTACCTTTTTTTTTAATATTATTTAAACTATTAAGTTTTTTACTTACAATTAAAAATATCTTCCTAAACTATCTTTATAAAATTTGAGTTTTAAAATATTTGAAATTAAATTATTTTGTTTATAATAAATATCTTTTCCAAAACTTCTAATAGGTTTTTTTAAACTCAATTAAATTTCAAATTTAAAAAAAAAAGTTATTTTAAAAGCTATAAAAAAGTTTTTAAATTTTTAAGCTATATGTTAAAATAGGTTTTGAATAACATTATTATTCATAACTAAAGTTATTTATCTAAATTCATTTTAGATTTGGCTGAATGTCTAAACCTTTAGTTTTGCTAACTTTTTACTAAGTGTTTGATATAGTTTTGCTATATTTATAAGCTTTGATATAGTTTTACCTTTTCTGAATTTTACAGATTTTTAATAAGATTTTAATATAATTTAACCAAGTTTTAACTTTACTATTTAGATGTTTAGCTAAATCCTAGATTTTATCTAGCAATCTTAATCTCATTAGAAGAAAATTCATCTTATACTAGAAGACTTACAACAAGCTTTAAAGATAAATAATATTTTATTTGTTTCTTATTTTTTTTTTTTACATATTAACAAATATGTAATTAGAGACAAGTAAATTGCATAATAAATAGGATTCCAGAAGAAAACAGATTGTAATTAAATAAAACTTATAAACAGTAATATGACTATATCAATAAAGTGATTATTCTAACTATTATAGATACTTTAGATCAAGATATATTTTCAATTATGGAAGAACTTATATACAAAATTTTACACAATTAATATTATCATCAACATGAAGATTATTTAATAAGAAAGAGATCTGAATTAGATTTGAATAATCATAAGTAACAAAAATATAAGAATTATTGTTGAAGTAAAATAAATAAAAACATAAATTGTAATTAATTTATTATTAAAAATATTAACTTCAAATATTTCATTAATAGAAAAGAAAACAAAGAGTTAAAATGATTGAAAAAATATAAAATACTAAAGATATATTGGTTAAAAAGTTTTCAGAATATAAGATTCATCTGCTTAAAACAGATAATCAATATTATTACCAAAGGATAGTAAAGTATACCAGTTCAATCCTATCAGATGTAAAATAATTGTTATAAGAAATCTTAAATAGTGATCAGATACTATCCCTTAGATTGTAGAGTTTTGCAGGCAAATTTACCTGCTTATTTACTATAAATTTTCTTCTGATTTACTTTTATAAATAATTAATATTTTTAAAAAATTTTTTTTTTTAAATTAATTATATAAATTTGTAATATATTATAATAAATTTTATTTTTTAATTATATAATAAAAAATGTAATGTTACTTAAAAGCTAAAAATTTGTAATTTTTAAAAAAAAATTATTTTAAAA